TCGATTTCTACCCGCCGATTCAGGCAGGTAGTATAGACCAGACCGCAGTGTAGTAAGAGGAGGCCCTGAGAAATAAACCTTGGTATCAGAGGCCTAGTATGAGGCCTAAGGCCTGAACTAAAGTAATGGTCAAGACTTTGCTAACATGAAGCAAAGTTAAGCTGTGAGCAAGAGGCAGGCCCTGCTCACAGAAGTTGGCAAGGAAAGGGCTGACATTGCATAAATATATATTCACCTAGCAAAGTTAAAGTATAAACATGGTACCAAGACATACCATACCGGAACATTCCACAGATAACATGGAACAGGCCGACCCATCCCAATGACCGGGGCAAAAGGGTAAAATGATGGATAGAGTTGTTTTGATCGAACCAACATGTACAAGGTGAGAGGCAGCACCTTACTACGTAGAGGGGTTGTACCTTGCTACGTAGAGGGGTTGAACCTCAATACGTCAGGAGTGATGTGTAACTTGTTTGTAACTGTGTATAAAAATGGATTCCTGGGGTGGTGTCTTTGTCCGGCCACGGGGGCAGTGGAAAGTCCCGCCACTGAGCCGGGTCCTTGCCAAGAGGCATCTATTAGTAGTATGCCCGGTAGACTAAGTAATCTACTGGGAACTGCAATTGTGTCGGAGGTCGCAATAAACCTGGCCGAGGTGCCTTTGTACCTTACTAGACTCTGTGGTCATTGGGGGTTCTCGTCGGGTCTGCTGTGTCAGCTATCTGCAGAGCTGGGGCAGCACACAGAGGGAACACACGCACGCAGCCGAGTGATATCAACAGGAGAAAGCAGAAGCACCACACCAGTAGCCTCTGACAACACACAGCAGCTGGATTGACTAAGTGCCCGTACAATGGATCTCTCAGCTGAGGACAGGGATGTAAAATGCTCCTTAAACAACTGATGCCCACCTTGCACTCTTCTGACTTCCCTGCAAACGAGGGTGTTTTCAGTGGCGCTGGAAGATGTGGTCTTGCTTTCTCCATGGTTTTTGTGCCTTTACGCTCCATTACCATTAACGCCAACCCTTCTGCTGGGTTTAACAAAATATCTTTTCACTCTCTTGTTCATTGTGTCTGACTATCAGTAAAGAATGTGGCATTGTCCTCTCCAAAAATCCAGTTTCGGTTGTAAGCGGGCGTGGCTGAGAGTTAGAAATTTAAATCCCCACCTTCGGACGTATGCTACTTAATCTCTTATTGAAGTCAATGCAAAACAAAGCTAAGATGTGGGAGGAAGGGGTATTGGGAGGGTGTGCATAATAAAAATCCTTACTTGATTGACTTAAACATCTGGCAGCAGATGCTGTTAAAGCCTCTAACAAGCTATAGTTGAGAGACCAAAGGATAGAGGTCAAATTTTTCTTTATGGACACAATAAGTCCCTGGGGTTGTCCGTGTGTAGCTGAGAATAGCCCTTATTGACTCAACTGGAGTCAGGCCCTGAGCTAATTCAGCACAATGTGGGGGATTCCCTCCTTAAACAGAAGGTGCCTGTCTCTAAAAAGAAAAATCCTGCCTAGGGGATGAACTAAGAGCTTCACAAAAATGCATGGAACTTAGATGTGAGGTTGCAGGTTCCCTTGGATTTTAGACCCTCCTTGTGGAGGAGAAAGTTTGTTCTTTTGTTGCAGACAGATCTCCATTTGTCATGGTAGTTATTGTCCCCTTGCTGATCACCAGTGATTGCAAAAGGGCTCTTGAGGAGAGCAAAGCAAACTGCACTATCCTATTATGTGCCATTGTCAGGATGTAGATTTCTGTAGTGGGGGATCTGTTTTTCCATTGCCTTGTGTGACATCTGTGCAAGGTGGCTGTAAAACTCTTCCATCTGACCTGGTGGCATTTTACCCCACTCTGCCCAGGTATCAATGACGGTGCAAGGCGCTGGAGGATCAGGCCAGGGTTTCTTTCTTGCTCTCACCAAGTTCCCAGCCCATTTTCCTTGATGACTTCCTCAAATCTCCCTGCTTTCATCCTCCTGGAGCTCACCCTGCTCCCTACAGTGTCAATGGTAAAAATGCTGATGTTCAGTGGGAGCAGGATCCCAACTTTCATGAGGAATGGCCTCCTGCTGGAGTCTGCCTGCATCCGTCATTGTCTCCACTTCAACCAGGGCAGGTTTCTGGAGACTTTTGCCTACACAGGGGGGAAAGATTAACTCATTGTCTTCTCAGAAAGAAGGCAGGCACTCACCACCCCTCACTGTCTGTAAACAAAATAGAAATGTTCATGTCCTGGTAGTTTTTCACTGAATCCTTTCCCATCTGAGCCTTTTATCCTTGAGTCAGTTTTCATGGTTCTTTTCAAAGATCTGATTTCCCCTTTCCCTGCCTTTCTCTCCTTCCCTACCAGCAGCTTCATTCCCCATAGCCTGCTGAGCTCCAAAGAGGACTTGGGCTATGCTTTGCATTTGACAGACCCACTACATGGCCATATGTTTGCAGACCCACTGGTCTTACTCCTCTTCTGGCCTCTGCCTTGCCCAGAGATTTCCTGTTCTCTGGTGCTGAGGGACTCTCCATGGACTATGGCACTGTAATGCCAGGAGGATATGGACTGCCATGGACAGTTCTACTGCACTGCAATCATGGCCTTACACACCAAGGGCAGGATTTGCTCCAAACTCAATATCAGGAAAATCCATTTGTGACTGGGGTCGCAGTGGGGGCCAACTGGGTTCACTCAATTAGGGTGAACTGCAAAGAATGGGGCAGACAATCCCCCAAATGCTGGTGGATATTCCAAGACTTAGCTTTACCAAGACAGCATAAAACAGCTTCTTTGTTACCTCACTGGTTGCCCAGAAGCCAACAACACAGTTCCCTTGAAGTAACCCAGCCTCAGGTCTCCGTCCAGGTACCCAAGTCAAATATGATGAAGATTTCTGAAAATCTTATTTCATCATATCAAAGAAAAGGTTCTACCAATCCCACAGGATTGGACACATTACCTCCCAGATTAATGAATATTCCAGATTTTACCCAAATACACGCTACAGCCAATTATTATTAACTAAACTAAAATTTATTAAAAAAGGAGAGAGAGAGTATGGTTAAAAGATCAATATACATACAGATATGAATTTAATTCTTGAGGTTCAGATACATAGCAGAGATGGTGAGCTTTGTAGTTGCAAAGAATTCCTTTATAATTTAGTTCATAAGTTATAGTCCAATGTCCAATATCATATCCAGGGTGGACCAGCTGAACTGGGATCTCCTCTTGTGATTTAAACGTCCCCTGATGAAGCTTAAGCAGATCTGAGATTAAAAGGATCAGGATCCCAGGATCTTTTATACAATTTCAGGTCTTCTTTGACAAGTTGGAGTCCCTCGGGGAACAATACGTAATCCGGGCATCTTTGAAGTTGGTCCGTCACTGGTACTTAGCTATGTGAATTAACATAAGACAATTGCCTGTTCCTCCACCATTCACCAATGATCTGCTATATATTTCAGAGAGAGATGAATACAGAGAGATCCCGTGTTTACAATTCATTTAAATGCTAGGATATTCTTTTGATCTCTGAATTAATAGTTATAGTGACAGACAGGAACTGTCTGTTTACATGGCTAGCACCAAAGATACACACAATCAATATTACCTCTAACTTCTAACAACATAGGTTTGCATTTCAAAGTTCTAGCCTATTTACCATGAATGGCCTTAATTACCATTCGCATACCTTTCTAACTTGACTTTAAAGTGGGCTCTTCAGCCTGCAAACTGCTTAACCCTTTCTGGCCATGAGTTCTATTTTGTATAAGATTTGCTGCAATTATATAGCAGTGGTAGCAACAATGGTTTGCATAATTATATTTTAATCAGACAACCTCACACCATTAAATCTCACGTTTAGGGGAGAATTGACTTGTTTCCACGACAAATACACCGTCATACCTCTCTATTGTGACAGCTTCCCCTGCTGGTGTGTGCTACCTCTCCTTGTCAGTCTTAGTCCATGCTTTCCTCTGTCATTGTTATCTCCTGAAAGAAGTTGAATCTACCTGACAGCTGTGAACATCCAGCATAGACAAGAAGTAATTCGATGTGGTAATTTCCCTCCTTCGGCTCAGGTAGACCTGCAAACATGGTCGGACGGACCAACGTTAAAGGTGCTTTTGGCAGGATTCAAAGTGTTAACAGTTTTCTATACACTAGGGGCCAGATCCTTAGCTGGTGTAAATCTGCATGGCTCCATCAGTGGAGTTTCACCAATTTATACAAGCTAAGCGTCTGGCCCTAAAAGCTTCTCCACAACAACCTCAGCCTAGGGTTGAAAACTCCAGTGATTACGGTAATTCCAATGCCATAGATGGCTAGATAAATACTGAATAAGAATATGTATGCTGCAAAAAAGAGTTCTCAAAGCAGTGCGTAGAAAGACCTGTAATGGTTTCACCATCTCCCCTGAATAAATGGTACTGCGTCCCACTCGCTGAGGCTGCCGTTTTAATAATTCTTCTCAGTGGGAGGCAAAGCTTGATACAGAATAGGATAGAAAAAAATACGTCTTTCCATTAGAGAGCATGGGAAATCAGAGTTTGAGTAGTTGTAAAGTCCTTGATGTATCTTATTCACTTCCGGTTAATTTAACACTTGTGTAAACTGTTAAATTAATTTAAAAAAATAAAGATCTTTACATCAACTTTGTACGTCCCTTTCCAGCGGTCTAGTAAGAGAGCTGTTCTATAGTCCTATTCCGCATTTTTCCAACTGTCAAATTAGAAGCCTCCTCTTTGATGACTACATATTCTTTTTAAATATTATTCACAAGCATTTTTACTGGTTTACATTTCTTTGTACTTATAGTAATTAGAATAACTTTTACAGCACACTGGCATTTTCCTGAAAGCACCAGTAACTGGAAAAGCTGAACACGAGGGTTTTTAGTTTGCTTTGGGCATCATTTTATTTACTTTAAAAGAATTTATTTGGCCCGCTGGGAAAGAGAAGCATCTTTAGGCCACAGATAAGACAAAATAAATTGAAGGCATGATGGTAAAGAATTTTAACCATAAATTCTCCCCAAACTAACTTTTTCTTTCGTGCTTGAGGAATAGAAATAGGGCCAAATTCTGCTCTCATCTGATGCACACGGGCTTCACTGGGGCTGCACACCTGCACAGGGACTCCCTTCTCACAGATCTAATTGCAGGATTGGGGCCAAATTCACGGACTTCTGTCGACACTGGGGTTACTCTGGATTTATACTGGTGTAGATGAGAACAGGGTGTATCATACAGTGTTTACTGCCTAGCTATACAATGCAACTTCTGTGTGCCTCTAACACCTAGCTAATCTAGAGTATTTGTGGAAGATTTTATTTTTGTGTAACTCAAAGAACACCGACTGTATTGTTTTTAAAACAGCAGTACCCAGCTGATTACACAGGAGTGGGACCCTTACTGAGAAGTGAAATGTATGTTCGAAAGGGAAATGAGCTGGGATGTAGAACTGCACACCGGCTGGACTGGACAGCTCCCTGAAGACTTGATCCTACTCCCATTGGAATCCAAAGAGCCTTTTGATTAATTTCATTGGGCACTGTGACAAGATGGTCGATATAGTATGGTGGGTCCTGCACTTTTCTTGGTGTGGGGGGGCTAAAATACCACCCCTTACCCCTGCTCTTGGGGCACCGAGGGCCCCACTAGTGGCCCAGGAAGGTGGTAAAGGAGGGAAGCGGGGGAGGGGTCTGGATTTGCTCCTCACTCTGAGTCCCAGCCCCTCACTCTGAGTCCCAGCCCCTCTCAACCCCTGTAGGTTCTTACCCCTTTCCCCCTTGGGTGAGGTACCTTCAGTCCTTAAACACTGGGGGAGGGAATGTCCCTCCCCTGCTGGGGCAAAGTCTCCCTTACTCTGGTTTTCTGTTCCTCCAAGTCTCACAGCACACCTCCAAGCTCCAGTCCTCTACCCTTCCCCCTGACTGCCTGAAGCAGGAGGTTTTATTAGGTTTCTAACAGGGCCTTAATTGATTACAGGTGCTCCAATTAATCTGCAGCAACCCTCCCTAGTCTACAGGGAACCACGCCTTAATTAACCTAGGGTTTATATACTTCCCTTCTACCACTTCCCACTGCTCCCTGGCCCTCCTGTATCACAGCACTTACACTTCAGCGAAGTCAAGGCGCTCATGTTTCAGAGCAGGCTGCACAGTAATCTGTGTGTAAGGTGGCTGAGGGCAGTGATTGTCCAAAGCAAGAAATTGATTGGCTATTAGATGCTGTCTTGGCTTCATCACCAGTACCTATTCAACACGTGGTTATGACATCGATTGCACCACTGCTTCATTTGCATATTCAAAGCAGTGACATCTGGTAGTTTACCATAACAAGCTGGGGTAAAATGACTGTTCCTGATTCTGTTACAGGAAGGCTGCATGTGTACATGGACACTCCCCTTCAAGAAGGTGCAAGTGGCTCATTGGGACACCTTAGCCTGATGCTTGAGAGGAGAAGTCAGGTGTAGACCACAGGAGCCAACAGTATCTCTTGAGCAAGTCTTGGGAGCGAGAGAACATGAATCCAGTCCATGTAGGTGAGGAGTCAGGCACTGCTCTGAGGATCCAAGAACATACCCCTATGACCCAGGAGGGGGAGGAAGGTACCAAGAGTTTGGTCACTGGACGTGAGGAGTCAGCTGATGTCCTGATGACCCAGCTGTGCCCTCTGGGGCTGGAGGAAGTGGTGACCAAGAATGCTCTACGTGATGGCCTGTCGGAGCACTGCACCGCACAGGCCACTTAGAATCATAGAATATCTAGGATGGAAGGGACCTCAGGAGGTCATCTAGTCCAACCCCCTGCTCAAAGCAGGACTAATCCCCAACTAAATCATCCCAGCCAGGGCTTTGTCAAGCTGGGCCTTAAAAACCGCCAAGGAAGGAGATTCCACCACCTCCCTAGGTAAAGCATTCTACTGCTTCACCACCCTCCTAGTGAAATAGTGTTTCCTAATATCCAACCTAGACCTCCCCCACTGCAACTTGAGACCATTGCTCCTTGTTCTGTCATCTGCCACCACTGAAAACAGCCGAGCTCCATCCTCTTTGGAACCCCCCTTCAGGTAGTTGAAAGCAGCTATCAAATCCCCCCTCATTCTTCTCTTCTGGAGACTAAACAATCCCAGTTCCCTCAGCCTCTCCTCATAAGTCATGTGCTCCAGACCCCTAATCATTTTTGTTGCCCTCTGCTGGACTCTCCAATATTTCCACATCCTTCTTGTAGTGTGGGGCCCAAAACTGGACACAGTACTCCAGATGAGGGTATTAATTAAGCAATTCCATGTTATCCAAATAAAGGTGCTCATTGAATAACCAGAGGTTAGTGTAGAGGGAGGAGTAGCTATAGAGGGTGTGATGGGGCAAGGCCAGATGGCTACAGTAAAGTAGTGAGGAACAGGTATGTTAGCCCCAGGCTAAACAAATCCCTGGTACCATGGTAACCAAATGGCAGTTGCTCCAGGTTAATCAAGACACCTGGGGCCAATTAAGATAGCTCGATTGATTGGGACACTTGAAACCAATCAAGGACTGGCTGGAACTAGTTAAAAGCCTCCCAGTTAGTCAGTGCGAGGTGGGTGTCAGGAGCTATAGGAGGGAGCAGTGCTGTTGGAGGAATGAAGTAGTACGAATCTGTATCAGGTGCAAGGAAGGAGGCCCTGAGGTAATTGTGAAGAAGATATTGAGTGGGGGCTGCTGTGGGGAAGTAGCCCAGGGAATTGTACATGCCCTATTTCCAAAAAGTCAGCTTCTATAGCTGCTAAGTTTAGGGTCTCTGGGCTGGAGCCTGGAGTAGAGGGAGGGCCCGGGCTCCCCCTCTCCCCTCCCTGATTAATCATTGATACTGGGACACAACAGAGACTGTGTGAGGGAGGGTTGTTTCTCCTCACCTCCCTTGCTGGCTTATGATAAAAATGGCTCAGTAGATTGTGACCCTTGCCTCTAGAGAGAGAAGGGCTATATGTTAGGAGTCAAGGACAGAACTTTGTCACAAGGGCCACACATGGGTGGTGAGTTTTTCTGACACAGGAGCACTGTTCCAATGCATGTCTTTGTGTATTTAATTTGGAAGGACTCTATTGCAAGCACCATACAAAAGCCAGAACACTAAGCGTTACCTGGTCACAAAGGAGATCCAACCAGCCCATCTGTGCTGCCCAGGCAGCAGCAGACCAACCTGGCACCAAGTCAAACTTTCGGGCAAGCCACCTCCTAGTTCAAGTGATCTCTTCCCCTGGGGCGAGGGAGTTAATGCAGAATCCAAGAGGAGGCCCAGAAAATGGTCAAGAATAAACCAACTGGAATAAATGAGCCTTGCAGAGTACTTTAGAGGTAGCCAGTGAGTAGCTCTGGCCTACATCTCCTGAGGTAAATTCCTCAGCAGAGGACTCTCCACCGAAAAAGCTCTATCCCTGGCCCAGTTAGAAAATGGACTTGCCCCAGCTCACTTTCACTGTCAAGCGGGGACACAGGGCGAGAGGGTCAGAGAGGGGAGTGACCACAAAAGAATTTAATTTGCTTCTGTGAATCACAGAGGAGACAAACGTAGTGATGAGCTCCTGGTAGCCCTGCCAACCCCAGTGTTTGTCCCTCTGCCCTAACAAGGGGATGACCCCAATCTCCAGAGAGCACAGGGAGGGTAGCTAACCCCCAAGGCCAGACCAAAGTCCCAGCTAGGCCCCCCAAGTGAATAAATCCATAATGAGCAGCCGACCCAATCACTCCCCCACAAAAGAAAATACCAATGAAGCTTGGTTGGCCTCACTAACTGAATAGTTTGAGGCAGTGACTATACAATATCTACAGGGGTATTTGGTTTGAAGCAGTGACTAAATAATACTCCCCAGGGTATTTGGTTACAGTATCCCATACACGCGGCTCAGGAGAAAGTCAAAGGCTGAATGCATCACACACCAGAACAGTTGAACTCTCGTGAAGCAATGGTATGGTTGAATGACCTTGAAATTGTTGGAGGCAGCTCATTCTTAAATAAGTTGAAAAAAGCCAAACTTAGTTTTGTCTGGATTTTGCTTATCAATTGTGCCAGCGGCAGAGTGGGTGTCCAGCTGGGTCACCTACATCCGGTGCTTTGGTTGTGTTCTTCCAGAGATTTGGACAATTTCTCAGTCCAGACCAGATGGCAGACCTTCTACTGACAGTTGTAGAAAGCTTGAAGGAGGCCAATGAGAGCACCATTGAAGCATCAAAGACTATTCTGAATGTAATCCTGGAGAAGTACAAGCAGAAGATACAGATGGAGGTAGTTGGCTCTTGGGAGTTGGGGAGCATTTAGAATCTCCTGTCCTGGGGTACCATCAGCGGGACTCTTTCTTCATTGTGATGCTGATATTTTAAAATGTTACAAGTGGACGGTCTAAAGCTGGGAAATGAACCTTTGTTCCATTGTCTCGGGACTTGGAGACTGCATCTGGAAGTTCTCTTCAAGCTGCTGCAGTTCCCTCTTGTTCTGGTTAAAGAAGTCCTACTGATTTGCTCTTCAACTTTGTTTGTAGCTATCAATCTCTTCTACAAAACACTAGAGAATTGATCACTAGGAACATTCCTTGCGTTGGCCAGGAGAAGGACCAGGCAATGTAAGAGGTCTTCTATAATAATGCTTGATGAGCTCTCAAGGAAGGTGGAATTGCTCTCATTAATAGTGTCTGCCCTATTCTGCTCTGATTCTTACCCCAGAAGGAACCCCCTCCACACGTGCGCGCACATTCTCTAAGCTGTATTGTTTTCTTCTAGGTGCCAAAGATTGTGGACAGGATCCACTCCCAGCTCAGAGCCATCCATCATTCCCATGCCAGACAGGTAGTGATGATGGCCTTATGCCTCCTGGCTCGTGCTTTCATGGAAGAAGTGTCCACAGCCCTTCTAAAGTGTCCACTCCCACTGGACAAGTATGAAACTCCCTAATGACCAGGATACTGAGAGCTCACTCTTTGGGTTCCTTATTCTTTCCTCTCCTCCTGAGATGTCTCAGACTGGCAGTAGCTTCCTTGTTGTGCAGAAAATGTCTTTCTTGCCAAGGGTCGATTACATCACTAACCACTGAGAAATGAGACCCTCTCCGGCTTCCATCCCAGGAAGCTTCTTCTCCATCCATCTCATAATGGCAGGAATCACAGATTTGCCCAGACGTCCTATGTGATACTTACTAACTGTGCCATTCGATGTGTGTCACTCGCTTGCTTGGAATGAGTGGAAGGGGGGAAATCCCACTGAGGAGAGCACCTGGGGCTAAATTCTCAGTCTGCAGAATTGGTGCATGACCACATGTACAGCTGCCTGTGTTTGCAAAACAAAAATCTGCATGTGTACATGGGTTCTTGCGTGCACTGGTACCATTGCTGGACATGCTCTCCCTAGACTCTGGATGCCTCAACCACAACTTAAAATTCACAGTAGTTGGTCGGGGGGGCACAGTAGATGGCTGAAGTCCATTGCTCCTGCCCCCCACAACCACCGTCAGATACAGTCCCAAAACATGATTTCCCCAGGCCATTGAATAACCTTCTTCAACCCTTATCCCGTCTCCTCCCCAAACAGCCAGAGTAAAAGATGGGCTTTGTGGTGTGTTCCGAAGGGTGACCAGTCCAGGCTGTAGCAGACCAACAGGGAAAATACATTCCACAGCTCCCACTGTTCTGTATCAAAGGAGTTGCAGCTTGAGGGCTTTCAGAAGCTGCAGCTATGGCAATATGTTATGGGGAGAGATGGACTCCCAGGTAACCCAGACATACAGCGCTTTCTTTGTTGGTACCTGTGATGGATTCCTCCGGGGGTGCCATCTGGAAGTGGGATACCACTGATCCCCCTTGACCCACCAGCCTGGGCTCTTTTTTACACTGTACTGCTGTGACAAGCTGACAAGCTCTCTTCAGGCTTCAGCCTGCACTTTCACCAGCACACATACAGGTAGGGACACACCCAGCTGCAGTTACATGCAGATGCTCTGACCAGCTACTGCACGGGAAGGCTCCAGCTAGGGCATCTCCCAGTTCATAAGGCACGCACCCTTTATGGAGTGTAAACCCAAAATTATACCATCTTGCACTGCACGGGCAACCTGTACAATGTAAGCTCATGAAATTCACCCCCACCCTCAATGTGGAGAGGAATATACCACAGCTTTCTGCCCTGAGTTATGACTTCCACACACTGGTTTTAGATAAAGCAAAACCAAGTTTATTAACTACAGGAGATAGATTTTAAGTGATAGCAAACAGATCAAAGCGGATTACCTAGCAAATAAACAAAAAATACAACCTAAGCTTAATATACTACATAGATTGATATGAATAGCAAATTCTCATCCTAAGAGATGATACAAGCAGGCTGTAGATTCTTAAGGGACAAGCTGCACTTGCTATACAGCTTGGAATCCCCAGGTGTTCCATTCACAGGCTAAAAATCCCTTTAGTCTGGGTCCAGCACTTCCCCCAGTTCAGTCTTTGTTCCTCAGATGTTTCCAGGAGTCTCCTTGGCTGGGGGAATTAGTGAAGAACCCTGATGATGTCACTCCCCTGCTTATATAGCTTTTGCATATGGCAGGAATCCTTTGTTTCAAAGCTTGGTTCCCATGCCAGTCAGTGGAAAAATAATGACATCCCAAGATGGTGTCCAGCACTACATGTACATGTACCTGTAGTGTCATAGCAGCTATTACTCGGAGGCTGTCTGTAGAGTCCTCAGGAAGCCTCCCCAAGTGGGAGATAAGCTTCTCCAAAGGCCTATTGTTCTCTCTAATGGCTCATTAACTTTAATGGGCCCTTCCCAGCCAGCCATCTAGACGGAGAGCCTTTTGCCTAGTGGGCGTTCCCCAGGTTAAACACATTTGAAATACAGATACATAGTCAATATGTCTAACTTCAGATACAAAAATGATACCTGCATATAAATAGGATAATCATATTCAGCAAATCATAGCCTTTTCAATGATATGTCACATGACCTACCTTGCATAAAATACATCATAAGTGTCATAATCATATCATCATAATATCACTGTGAAGAATATGGGATGCAGTGTCACAGTACTAACACCTGGAATTCCACTTGGAAGCCCATGTGCAGCTCCTAGAACACCAAGGTGATGTGCTTCCAGAGTAAAGCTCCATTCAGGAAATGAACTGCTGCATTCTGGACAAGCTTTCGCTCCTGAAGGGTATCAAGGTGTAGCCTGAAGGGGCGAGTAGATTACAGGAGTCTAACCTCAAGGTGACAGATAAGATCAGCAAAGTGCCCGTGTCCAAAACCAAAGGTCACGCTTGGCTTACCAAGCGAGATGAGAAAGTGCCCTTTGGCATAGCTGTGCCCTGGGCTTCAGTAGTAGCCTTGAGTCTAGCATGACCCCAGAGCTGTACGCTGACTCAGAAATAATGTCTGTCCTCCATTGAGGTTAGTGGAGGTGATGTGATTCTAGACAGGTTTTTCTGGTTGTGTCCCACAACCTTCTAACAATCTCTCTGCCCTGCCTGGGCTGAATCTCATCCAAGCTCCAGTCTCCTGTAGACGTGGGGCCATCCAGTCCCATTCACCAGCGAATCAGCTGTAATGATGATATACAGCTGGGTATCCTCCACAAAGAGCAGGCACCATTGCCCACGTTTCCTTTGTCACCCACCTAGTAGCCTTGTGTGCACATGAAACTAGAAATGAGAGCAGAACTCTACAGGATTCCGCAGAAGATCAGTCTGGGGGTGGACAAACTATTCCCCATATTCACCCTCTCAGCCATCCCGTGTATACAGGAGCAAAGCCACTTCAAATGGGTTCCATCTACTCCTACGCACACTTCATGATCAGCCATATCGAAGGCAGCTGACATGCTGTCTTCATCTGTAGCCAGGAGACAATCAACCAGTGCCACTCGTGAAGCTTCAGTCCCATACCCAGTTCTAAGCACAGGATGAAGGGAATCTAAAGACTGCAGATATTGCCAGAGTTGCTTTGTCTCCACCTCCGTGACGATCCTTCCCAAGAGTGGGAGATCTCATACCGGTGGTAGCAGGACCCAGTGGGCTAGGAGCCCCGTCACATTGCAGGCAGTAATGGTCTGTTCATGGCAAGGGTAGTACATCCCCAACCCACTGTAGACGCTAGGTCTGCAGTGTGGCCAGGTATATGTGTAGAACCAGCAATCATCTGTGACAACCTCACATGTGTGTGACCTGACTGTATCTTGTAGGTAAAAAATATGGCTGGTTATCTTATAGCAGACTGCAGGTCTGACAGTGGTCTCAGCCCACCATATTATCTCAAGGTGATGGAACATGTAACATGGGTCACTTACTGCTTTAGGTACATAGTTTTGTTTCCTTGGTATCTGGGATGAGGCCTCGTTGTAGTCACCATCTCTCTGATGGAACCCCTGACCCTAGTTTAGGTGTCATTTGTCCAGTCAGACTGTGGTGTGGCAGAGCTATATGTATCCGATCCAGCGTGCGACTGTCTCTCTCAACTCGTAGAGATGCAGCTGGGATGTGGAGAACATTGGCCAACACAGAGGCAAGCTGTCACTGCCACAGACTTCTGGATATGCTGCTGAAGGAGCTGCAGGAGAGGCCAAGCACCTCTGAGGATAGAGCCTTCATCATACCGCTAGCTGTAAGAAACAATTCACACATGACTCTCGCCTCTCTTCAAAGAGGAGAGAGGTCCACGTCTGAGGGATATATTGCTGTGAATTCTCCCTGGGGAAGGGTTGGGGAGAGCTGCCCTGTATCTCTGGCAGAGCCCTGAAAATGCTCCCATTTTCCATTTCTTTGCCTTTCACAGGAAATGCTGTGTCCTAGACACCAGCCATCTTGTCATACATGGCTGGACCAAGCTCCCTGCGGAGCCCATCAAAGCTGCTACTTAATGACCTGGAGGGGACCTCACTGGTGCCATTTCCTCTGTTCCCCCAACAGGGACTGAGCAGTCAGTCTCCTCCCACTGTCTGCAGCACTCCACCTCCCTTTCCTCTTTTCTCCTTCTCAGGGTCCAAGCAGGCTAGCTCCTGCCTCCATTGTCAGAGGGTGGGTGCACTGCCTCCCATCTCCATAGTGCTTTGTCTCCCCGAGGCCTGGGCACACCACTTCGATAGCAGCCTCAGATACAGCTTGTCCTGGTCAGTGGGACTCAAGCATTTTCCAAAGGAAGTCCGTATCATTGTCCCCATTTTATAGGTGGGGAAACTGAGGCAAAAAGTGGGGCAGTGACTTGCCTAAGGTCACCCAGTAGGCCAGTGGCAAATCTGGGATCCCAGTCCAGTGCTCTGTCCATTAGGCCATGATGCCTCTTCTTTGGCATTGAAACCCTGGTCTCCTGCATGGCAATGCAGAGCATTAAGCAAAGGGGTAGGGGTATCACGACAAAACAATACAACCTCTTCTTACTGGCAAAGCCCTGGGCTAAGCAGCCTTGCCCCCACCCTCCCTATCCTAAGAACGGCCGTACTGGGTCAGACCAAAGGTCCATCTAGCCCAGTATCCTGTCTTCCGACTGGCCAGTGCCAGGGGCCCCAGAGGGAATGAACAGAACAGGTAATCATCCAGTGATCCATTCCCTGCCGCCCATTCCCAGCTTCTGGCACACAGAGGCTAGGAACACCATCCCTTATCCATATCATCTTTCATTCACTGTCAAGAGGTCAACTCTTTCCTCCAATCAGCCCCCAGTGCCAACCTCCGTCAAACAAGCACCTTCACTGACCCTGCCACACGGGTGGTGCTCCCCATAAACATCTGCCAAGCTACTTCCAATCCCTTCTTCAAATGCTCCTTTGCCATGATGCCTACAAAAAACTCGACAACAGTCAGGTTGCTGGGGTGCTGAGACCACTGTCCGCCATGCTGACTGGTACTGGCTCATTGTTTCCTTGTGCTCCCCCAGCTCTGTCTGTCTGTCTCGTCTCAGCACCCCAGCAACCTGACTGTTGTCGAGTTTGAAGCAGAGACCGTCTTTCATTTCTTGCTTTGTACAGCACCTGGCACAATGGGGTCCTAGTCCAGGACTAGGGTTCCTAGGTGCTACTGTAATACAAATAAATAATAATCTATAAGACTCTATCGTAGCTCCATGGTTTCCATATGCTCCCACCAGTGAAGTCACCCCTCAGCACCCCAGTGCTCCTCTCTCTTACAAACAGTGATGTTACAGCTCCATACATGTGTGCTGTGCAGGGCGGGGTGTCACTGATATGTTATAGCGCAGTCTCTTGTATGTGCAGTATGCTTACCCGCAGCATGGCGTTGGGCTCAACGGCTCAGTTATAGCCCTGCAGGTGCCGCATGGGAGCAGTGCGGGCTTGGTCTCGGTTGCCGTGCTGCCTGTTTTAGGCCTCAGTGCAGTGACTGTGCATTGGACATGCTGTGCAGGGTTGGGGTTGCCATCTCTATGACATTGCAGTGCACCGCGAGTCCCGTCTTGACACAATGCAGGTATCTGGGGGGATGGGATAGAGGATTGCTCTGAGCAAGGCCGGTGTCGCTTTAATGCGGGTTTTGCTCTGATTGCAGCTGTGTTGTGAAGACAATGAAGACCCTTCTCCTAAAAATGGGATGTCACTACGAGTTCACCTCTGTTGAGAAGGTGGGAGGCTGGGAACTGCTCACTAGCTCTGAGGAGCACCATCGCGGGGTAGGCCTGCTTGCAAGGTGAGAGGCGAGAGCTTTGCTCTTGACAGATCTTCTCATCCCTCCCTTCTGCCAACTGCTCCCCCCGCCTCCTCACCTCCTCTGTAATAAGGGCATCTGTTTGCTCCCACAGAGCCATGGTCCACTATTCTTGCTGTCAGCTGTGGCGGATCTTGTACCTTCTGGTCCCGTTCCTCGAACGAGGTGATAAACAGCACAAGCTCACAGCGATGGCCTTTTTCGTTGAGGTAAAAGTTATTGGCTCACATCTATTGTGGTACAAAAGAGCATGAGCTGCATCTTCCCTTTCTGGACTGGTCAGCTAACCTCGGACTCCAAGTGTCTCCTATATCTGATTCACTGAGCTTTTGGGGAAAGCCTGAATAGCCCTTGCGAGTGTTCAAGAGACTATGTGCATGTGTCAGAAACAGCTATAATACTTTGCCCTTCTACAGCATCTTCCTTCTGAGGCTCTCAAGACACTTTGAACATTTCTCCCCACTGCAGCACATTGAGGTAGATGAGTGTTATCACCCCCATTTTACAGATGGGGAAACTGCGGCAACAAGGCCTTAACTCCGCAAGTCACATAAGAAGTCTGTGGCAGAGACCAGAATAGAAACCTTTTAGTCCTGTGCTTTGGTTTGTGCTCCCTCTCTTTTCCTAAATGTAGGTTTATAGTATGTAAATATCTTTTATAGACAGGCCAAAATTCTCAAATGTGGGGACCTGGCTTTGAGTACCCACTCCGTCTTTAGGCACCTGAATAAGTAGCCCAGTGTTCATAAGTGCTGAGCACCGGAGTTCCCATTGCAGTCAGTAGTTGCACAAAGGGGGTGTGGCCAGCACGCTGACTCCCACACACTGGCTAGTGGTCTGAGATCATGGCTTGGGTAGCATATGATTCACCTGCCAGTGGTCTGAGATCACGGCTTGGGTAGCATATGATTCACCTGCATAATCTCAAAAATCTCATAAAGTCAGCCCAAGGAATGGGCATCATGCCCACTGCAGACACAAGGGATGGTTTTTGCACTTGTTGTTGGTGCGTGGAATAGACTTCATGCCCACAAAGGGATAGTCTATGAACATCTGGAATGAGATTCTTACCTGCCTTGAGCACAAGGAGCATTCCCCCTCTAAGCATGGCAAATAGACTTCATACATGCTGGAGCATTTACAGCAATTTCATGGTAATGTTCATCCAGAGAACAGACAGACAGCTGTCTGGTTTGCAGCCTGTTATTGGCCTACTCTTTGTCTTTTTAGCTTCTCCATATGCCACAGGCAAAGCGGCTCCCAGAAAAATATTCCATGCTCCGTCTGCTGAAAGGACTGACTGACCCAGATCCAGTTATCAGAGCACTGTGCGTCAAAGGACTGATCACCATGGCAGACTGGCCAGGGAAGGTGAGATGGAATCCATTTCATTAAGCAATCAATATCCATGTAATTACTCCAGAAGTATCAGTAACACTAGTAGAAATCTAGAGTAACTCTCTCTGCTGATGGAAGTGAAACAGATTCCATTCCTGTTTGTGCAGAACGAGAACTGCTGGCCTGGATCAAGGCTAGGTGAACAGCATCTAGAATTGCTCCAGATCCCAGCCTTTCAAAGCAGACCCAGAACCATTTATCTGGATCTGAGATCAGTGAGCAGCATTTAATATCGCTCCAGATCTCAGCCTTGCAAAGCAAAAAACCCTCTTAACTGGGTGTACTTGAAAATGCTACTACCGATATCAGTGAAACTTTCAAGGAAGAGGCATATCCTCATTGATAGAGCACTACCAAATTCACGTCCATTTTAGTCTATTTCACAGTCATGGGATTTTAAAAATCATAAATGTCATTATTTCACCTATTCAAATCTGAAATTTCATGGTGGTGTAATTGCAGAGGTCCAGAACCAAAAAGGAGTTGGGTGAGGGGTCTGCAAAATTATTGTAGAGGGGTTGCGGTACTGCTACCCTTACTTCTGCACTGTTGCTGGCAGTGGGGCGGCCTTCAGAGCTGGGCAGCTGGAGAGAAGTGGCTGCTGGCCAGGAGCCCAGCTCTAAAGGCAGAGCTGCCATCAGCAGCAGCGCAGAAGTAAGGATGGCCTGGTATGGTATTGCCACCCTTACTTCTGCGCTGCTGCCTGCAGAGCTGGGCCCTCAGTCAGCAGCCGCACTCTCCAGCCACCTAGCTCTGAGTGCAGTGCAGAAGTAAGGGTGGCAATACAGTGACCCCCTAAAATAACTTTGTGACCCCCCTGCAACTCCCTCTTGGGTCACGACCCCCAATTTGTGAAATGCTGGTCTCCCCCGTAAAATTTGTATAGTAAAGGGTAAAAGCACACAAAAGACCAGATTTCACAGGGGAGATCAGATTTCATGGTCTGTGATGCGTTTTTCATGGCCGTGAATTTGGTAGGGCCCTGCTCATTGGGTATCTAACACTGCACACTAGAGACAGGGTAGGAAATAAATTTCTGCATTATTGGATAAAATGCAATCTGAGGGCTGTGTATGGATTATAGCACTGGTTTTCAACCTGTGGTCCACAAACTATGTCTAAGATTTCCAAAGGGGTCTGTACCTCCATTCAAAATGTTTTAGGGCTCCACAAATGAAAAAAGGTTGAAAACCAGTGGATTATATTAAAAAGGGCTAGGATTATACATTGTCATCTTTTACGCCTTTACATTGTCTATTTTTGGCTACTTTAGTGCCTGGTCATGTCCTAGAAAAATCAGTTTATTTGAATTGTCATGGCATAAATGTGAGCAGAAATCAGTCATTTCATTAGCAATCAAATAAATGCAAAAGGGAAAAGAAAACCTCATGACTGCTTTGTTTCAAAGGGTTTTTTTTTAATTGTTTGCCTCCTATATTCACACATGGTGAGCCCCAAAAAAGCCTCATACCATCGCTATGACCAAGAAGTGAATTGGGGGCAGGGAAAGAATGTGACATAGGCTGTAATTTACAGGGAACAGGGTATGAATTCTGTGGAAAGTCCATTTTAAGCTAACCTTGCCATTTTCTTGGGGGCTTTTTCAGTATTTAGAAAAATTCTCACACTGGTTGTTTTCTTTTTAAACTGAAAACCAGAATCCTTGGTGAGACAGTGTGGGGTAGTTACTGCATCAACTTCTTCTGTATAGGAGATAAAGGTCCTGGTGCCAGCCATGATAAACAGCTTGTTTGGAGTGGACGGGAGGCTGGTTGTGGAGGCTCTTGCTGATGTGAAGAAGATTCTCAGAGGCCTGGATGTAGCAAGTTATGTTGGCTGCATCACCAGTCCCCTTAGGCTCCTCTTTGATGATGTAAGACAACGGTGTGTGCGAAAGGGATGAGGGAAGGGGAGCCGAGGAGCATGTCCCTTGCACACCAGCAATCAGTTGTATCAAATAATGGAAGTGAAACAATGTCATTCTTCCTGCTTTCATTCCCTTCATTCTTGCTCCTGCCCCACCACAGTTGTCTTGTGCCTGTCCCAGCTCAGTGGACCCTGCCGTCTATGACTTGGAGGCACAGCCCATGCTGTAGCCATGCCTAACAGGTTAGGCCCCTACTATAGCATGTGATGGGGGCTGTTTATGGTGTGACACACATATGCCACAGCTACGCATGTCATACATGGCATATTCAATCACACTACACACTTTGTGCAACCGAATGAGGCTGGAAAGAAGAGCGATTTCAGCTCTTATCATATATACTGACCTGTTAAGTGCTGAATGCCCTCAACTGCTATTGATGAAGTCAGTAGGAGATGAGGGGACTCAGCACCTTGAAAGATCAAGCCCTGTATCCGTATATAATGCATCGCGAACACCATGTGGCACAGCTCTCCCTTACCAAAAGTGTGTGCGTTATGGTAGCGGTTCTCAAACTTCATTTCACCGCAACCCCCTTCTGACAACAAAAATTACTACAGGACCCCAGGAGGGGAGACCGAAGCTTGAGCCCGCCCCAAGGGCTTCAGCCCCAGGCAACCCTAGGTCCGCTGCCCAGGGCTGAAGCCCTTGGGCTTGAGCTTTGGCCCTGGGTCCCAGTAAGTCTAAGCCAGCCCTAGCAACCACATTAAAATGGGGTCGTGACCCACTTTGGGGTCCCGACCCACAGTTTGAGAACCGCTGCATTATGGGAAATGTAGTCCAACTGGGGATACTGGCCCATAGAGGAGAATGGGAATACAAGGCACAGACTACAACTCCTATGGAGCACTGCAATTCCCATTTTCCACTGAAATCTTTTGGCCAACATATTTCAGTTAAAAAACACATTTTCCACAGAAAGCAGGCTCTTCTTGTGGAAAAAAAATTGTTTTGTCAAAAGCCCTAATATGGACCATGGAGCAGCATAAACATTGCAGTAATTTTCATTACAAACCAAGAGGAGTACTACTGTTCACTATCAAGACCCCTGTCTTCCTGACTTCCTCTGTTTGTGTGTGTCTCTCTCGGGAGAGAATGAGTGTGCGTTCTGCTGCCATTTCCTTGTTTGGAAAAATGGTCAAGAAGGTGATGAAGAGTCAGGGGCTTATGAAAGAGGAGGATGTCTTGGACAGTTTGATCCCATTACCTTTGCACCTGCAAGAGGGCAACCCTGACATGGCTGAGTCAAGTTCCTACAGTCATTTAGCTCCAAGCCTCAGTCATCACTATCCCCAGACATCTCTTTCTCCATCTCCACCTTTCAGTGTAGGATCTTCTCCTAATCTATCTACTCTAATGTGTTTCCTTCTGGAAAAAACATAGAGCTTCCCTATCACCTCGTGAAGAAGAAATTCCAGGAGATTCATTTTCATTGCCGGTTATTAACAGTTGGAAAATATTGCCAGTTCCCAGGCTTTTAACTGTGGGAACTCTATCCTGTCTTGTAGAAATGTAAGAATGCCTTGGATGAATGTTCTCGACTCCTGGAATGGAGACTACCTAAACAGGTGAGCAACAGGAAGGCTTGGCATAACCACCAAGAAGATGTGGATGAAATCTGTCAGTACCTTGTAAGTAATCTCTGGGTTCATTGTTAGAACTGTGTGTTGATTTGGTCAAGGGAGGGTTTACACAGAGTAAGATACCCATTTATCAGGCTCTGTGGGTAGGCTTATGAGGGGTTGTGTTGGGTCATCCCTGTCATTAAGCTTTCATTTTATGCATTATCGATGTCTTAGGTGAAGAAACATCAGGAAAATGTCCAAAGGTTCTTGGTCCAAAGCCAGTGCTACCTCAGCAGCACACAGCCTTCTTTACGAAGGGCTGCAGCTATATTCATAGGTAAATCCAGAAAAATGTGCATTTCTTTAGCAAATTCCATAGAAGCACTTTTTCAATCTGTTGCGCCGTTCCCTCTAGTAGTGCAAGTTAATTGCTTTTTGCCAGATACTGTGATTTCTTGACCTTATAGGATTTAGTATTGGGTGCAATACAGAACCGGGAGTCACTCCTGGATTTTGTGCTATCAGAATACCCCTAAGGGCCCCACCCATCAGCAACTAATCCTGTGAGAACCTCCAAGATTCCCCTGTATGCTCCTATAGGAATTTCTCTGCAAAAATGTATGTCCTCATCTTGAAAGCCAGCCTCTCCGTATGACCCCAATCCAAAGCTCATTGGAGTCAGTGGAAAGACTCCAGTTGACTTCAGTGGGCTTTTTAATCAAGTCCTATCTCCTTAACTTCTCCATCTCAGGATTTAGGAACTTGTCCAAATACCTGAGGGCATCCTTGTGTGAAAGACAAAAACTGTGGAAGTCCCTATTGGAGGGTGGGAGAGTAATGGGAATTCCCTGCTTTTAATGGCATGTTCAGGGTTCCTGGTTATGCACATGGACAACATGATGAGAATGAAAGATTTGGACATCATAAGTAATGGTAAATAAATACCTCATTTTTAAATTCCTATGGCCTTGGATGAGTATGTGTGTGTGTGAGTGTGTATGTGTGTCTAAGGAGGCATTGGGATTTATATGCACAAAGATCAGTACTCTTGCTGTGCAAGGACTGTATAAATAGTATTGGTAATAGTTTGAATCTATACCTCTTCTTCCTCTATGCTTTATTCTTGGTGGCACCCCCAATCGCATGTGTTTGACTACCAGTTTTATCAACACTAATGACTCTCAAATCCATTCTGGACCCATCTCTCAAAGTTCAGTCTCTTTTCTTATATACACTCTGGAACATTTTATATTGGTTGGCTCACCATTAATTCAAACTCAGTATGACCAGAACTAAACTCTTTTACTACTCCCGTTTTCCAGTGTTGTAGGCAACACCACCATCCTCCTTTTCAACCAGACCTGTAACCTTGAATCATCTTTGTCTCCTCTCCAACATCCTCTCCAACATGCTATGACCAAATCAGGTTGCTGCTTCTTCCATCACTCTTCCAAATTCTGCTTCTTCCTTTTTGCTCCGATAGCAAAAGCACTTGCCCACTCCCTAATCATCTCCCAGACTGATAACAACAAATTACTTCTGTCTGGTCCCCTGTATACTCAGTTTATTTCCCCTCCAATCCATCCAAAATCCTGGACCAAAACCATCTCTGTGTTATGACTGTATCATCCCCCATCTTAGAATGCCTCCACTAGCTCCCCTTCACCTTCCATATCAAATTCAAGCTTCTTTCAGAGCCTTACATCAGTCAGCCCCAAACTGTATATTTGATTTGATCTCCTTTCACGCTCCATCTCCACTACTATGCCACCGTCATCAGCTTGGATGCCCCTTTTTTAATTCTCCCACTACTGCCTTTGTACGTTCTTCCATGCTTCCCTTATGCATGGAACAGCCTCCCTTAACCAGTTTGCCACGCCACCACCATCTTCTGATTCCCTCCTATAAACTCGCTTCTTCCATGTTGCCTAGGAGAAGTGAGTTAATTTAACTAACTCCTTGGGCTGTCTGTCTGTCTAGATATTTTTCTCACATGCACCAGAGTGGCATCTGAGCATTCGTAGATCCATGCCTCATGGCGTTAATGTGAGATCTTATTAATGTAACCATTCTCCTAGCTCTTCCGTTCTCCCCACCTACTCCCCTTTTATTATCCTCACTTGTTGTGTTGTCTGAACTTATGCCTCAATCCTGCAAATTGTTCCTTGTGATCGGACCACTGTGCTCATGCAGAATCCATGGACTTCAGTGAAGCTCCATGCAGGTGGAGGCGTCTGCCCCCATGGAACAACTTGCGGTATTGAGGCTTCCATCATAATTTCTTCAGGACCTGCACAGTGTCTAGACTAGTTCCTGTGAAGCACCCAGCACATGTTTAGGCATCAAGCATAACAAAGTCCTGTCAGGCAAGTTCTTTTAAGTACTTTATGGTAGTGTTCCATGGGTGCTGCCGATGGGTAGGAGGATGCAGAGGATCTAGCAGGAGGGTATGTTGCAGGTGCTGTAGATGAGGGGGAAATGCAGCAGAGGGCTCTAGGAATGGTATTTCAGACAGCTGAATGCGAGTATGCAAAGACCCCAGTGTGCTGTGCACTTCTGGATTTAAATAGATTTTATGACAGTTCTGTAGTTTCCAATCAACATTTTCTCTTTTGTTTCAGCTCTCGGGGGCTTAATGCATGACCCTGAGGCGTCCGTATGTATCTTTGCTGCTCAGGCACGTGAACGCGTCCTGGCAGTTTCCTGGAAAGTAAAGTATGGCCTGGTTGAGCAACACAAAGTGAACAGTGACTCTGCTGAGAAACACAAAAGCCCCCCAAATCCTCCTGCTACCGAAAGCACCTCATCCAGGCTGTTCAATGCCCTCAATCTCTGGAAATTAGCTGCCAAGCACTAACAGCTGGCTCAAAAAGAGAGCCAGGGCTTATGCCCCACTGAGCCCCATGCAGACACAGCCAGACTCTGGCGATTATTTTTCTCAACTTGGGCTGCCTGCTCTGTTTTCCAACCAAAGGGAAAATCAAAGGGACTCTGGAGGGGTCATTAACATGCCAAAGAAAGTGAACTGAACATGGGCAATAAAGAGCACTGAGAGTTTATTGCGAACAAAGCCTGCCAGGCAATCTTGAGTTCTTTTTTGGAGCAGAATTAGTGTTGGTGGGTGTTGGCCACATGTAATAGCCGGATGTTAGACAGTGCCAGGTCCCTTCCTCAGAGAGCGTGTCTGTAGTTTCTTTACTCACTGAGCTCTCTGCTGCCCAGTTATCAGTTGAGAGCTTTCCTGACCCACACAGTTGGAGTGTTTCTTCCCCTCTTCCCCCAAGGGTAGAGCTGTTCCTGTGTGGGAGCAGGCTTCACTCTTCCAGGGCAGTATCCGGACCTGACTCTAGGCACTTGTTTCTCCCTCTGGGTTTTCCTCATTGGTTGCTGTGTTTGGGGGACAGGGGCTATTCCCTCTCTTTGCTCTGTCCCTGGGGCTGCAGGGGGCTGCGAGGGAGCTGGCCCTGTTTGTGGGGATGCGGGGAGAAGAGGGGCTGTGTCTCAGCCCTGTCCCGAGGGGGAAGGTGGGGAGGTGTCCCTGTCCCCCAGATCCTAGGTTTGTGTGAGGGGAGAGAGGGGAAGCAGCCACTCAGCCCTGTCCCTAGGCAGCTGGGGAGCTGTCCCTGACTCCCAGGCTGAGGTGGGGGGAGTGGTCCCCAGGTTGGTATGACATGGCAGGAGCTCTCCCTAACCTGCGTGGAAGCTGTCCCTGGGTTTGTACACGGTGTGGGGAGCTGTCCCTGGCCCCCAGGCCGTGGGGAGGGGGCTGTCCCAGGGTTTGTATGGGGCAGGAGGAACTGTCCCTGATCCCCAGGCCGCGGGGAGGGGGAGCTGTCCCAGGGTTTGTATGGGGCAGGAGGAACTGTCCCTGATCCCCAGGCTGTGGGGAGTGGGAGCTGTTCCGGGGTTTGTATGGGGCAGCAGGAGAAGCTGTCCCTGATCCCCAGGCCGTGGGGAGGGGGCTGTCCCGGGGTTTGTATGGGGCAGCAGGAGGAGCTGTCCCTGATCCCCAGGCCGTGGGGAGGGGGCTGTCCCGGGGTTTGTATGGGGCAGGAGGAGGAGCTGTCCCTGATCCCCAGGCCGTGGGGACGGGGCTGTTCCGGGGTTTGTATGGGGCAGCAGGAGGAGGAGCTGTCCCTGATCCCCAGGCTGTGGGGAAGGGGCTGTCCCGTGTCCGGGGGCAGTTGGCCAAGGCCCTAGTGGAAGCGCGGCCCCGGGGCTGGGGTTGGGGCGGGCGGCGCCGCGCGGGGCGGAACGGAGGGCGCTGGGCCGGGCCACGGGGGAAGCGGCGGCGGCTGCACGGCAGGAAGGAGGGAGCGAGCGGCGGGGCGGCCGGAGCCGGAGCCGGAGCCGATGGAGGCGGCCGCGGGACAGGCGGAGGAGGCCGGGCTGGCCTCCTTCCTCGACAAATCCCAAACCCAGCGCTACGCAGGGGGCTTCAACCCGGAGAGCTGGGAGCAGGTGCGGGCCGGGGGCCACCCTGCAAGCGGGGGTGTTGGGGGGTCTCGTCCCTAGAGCTGTGGGGCGGGCGGGAGAGGGAGGCGGCCCTAGAGGTGGAGGTTGGTGTTGGGGACAGCAGGGGGGTCTGATTCCTAGCGATGGGGGGAGGGGCTATCCCTGCAGCTGGGAGGGGTGTTTGGGGGCAGGGGGTCCCGTCGGTAGAGCTTGGGGCAGAGGGATCTGGTGGTGGGGAAGGAGCTGTCCCTAGTGAGGGAGGTGTGCGAAGTGCTGTATTGGTCGGGTGTCCTGCCTGTCTTTTGGAGAAGGATTGTGATGGTCTGACAGAGGTGGGAGGTGTGTGTGTGTGTGTGTCTCTCTGAATGCGGTTGTCAGATCGTTTTGGGCGGTGGAGAATAGTGTGGATCTCCCCTAATGAAGAGGCAGAAATGGCACCAAAGTTTGTGAGCCTAATGCTGGGACAAATAAATAAATTAATGGAGATATCCTATCTCCTAGAACTGGAAGGGACCTTGAAAGGTCATCAAGTCCAGCCCCCTGCCTTCACTAGCAGGACCAAGTACTGATTTTGCCCCAGATCCCTAAGTGGCCCCCTCAAGGACTGAACTCACAATCCTGGGTTTAGCAGGCCAATGCTCAAACCACTGAGCTATCCTATCCTTTGCAAGCTGAACAAGAAATGTTAGGGGGAAAAATCTTGTGTGGGATATGAAATGTCCCATTGAAATGCTGACAGAGAAACTCATCTTTCCTTCAGATGAAGGGCTCTTGCTCCCAGAGAGATGTGGGTGAGCTCTGAATGGCTTCTTCCGTTCCTTCAATGTATTACTGGGCTACCTGTGCCCTGACTGGGTTGATGTGCTTGAAGAGAATATTTTGCAAGGCCATATTGATAAGGACTTAACGATTTCCAAAATGTGGACTTAATTCCAATTCTATGATTGTGTTTTCCACCCTGGCTGTTATTAATAGGAATTTGACAAGATCCCCATGTTTATGAAGAAATCCCCTGCTGAAATTGATCCTGAACAGAATCCTGATTTGGCATGCCTTCAGTCAATCATTTTTGATGAGGATCGATCTCCTGAAGGTATTTCATAATTTCATGGACATTTAAATCTTTGCTTTCACACCATTCTGGTATTGTGCTACTGCTCTTTGGAATTATCCTTGGGATTTGAGGATTTAATTGTAGGTGGGTGTGGTGGGTTCTAGATATCTGCTTTTCTGTGAGTGGGCATTGGGTATCTAAGGGGTGTTTGAATTTTTAGGTATGCTAAGGTTATAGGCAGGGGTGATCTATTGATTGCATTGTACAATGAAAGGTGTTTTGTTTGTCTTTGCAGAGCAAGCAAACACCTATAAGAATGAGGGGAATGAATACTTCAAGGAAAAGAACTACAAGAAAGCTGTAATCTCATATACTGAAGGGTTAAAAAAGAAATGCAGTGACCAAGATTTGAATGCTGTGCTTTATACTAACCGAGCTGCAGCACAGTTTTATCTGGGTAATGTCCTATGTTGCATTTTATGTCTGATGTAGATTCTGTGTAACCAAAAATGACTAAATTGCTTTGCCTATTTATGTCATGTGCTTTCACTGTTACAAACTTTCAAAAGATTTTCAGACAATCATGAACTGCCCCTGTGGCTCTGAGAGACGCAAGGTGAGCAAGGGGCTTCTCTTGGTGAGAGAGAAGCTTTCGAGCTACACAGAGCTCTTCTTCAGGTCTGGGAATGGTACTCAGAGAGTCACAGCTAAATACAAGGTCGAGCAGATTGTTCAACATAAGGGGCCATCCCTGTGGCTCTAACTCTTTTTGCAGGGGTCAAATCTTGCAGCTTCTGTTTTGCACATTGCTAAATTTAAAACTTGTGGCCAAAGCAAAGTGCTTTGGGGAGGAGTGTGAAGCGAAGAGGTTGATGCTGGGCTTTTCTGGGCTAATTCCTAGAGGTGGTTTGATGATGGTCCGGGCTTGGCAGTAACACTGGGAACCTGGGTCAGGGGTTGGGTGCCGGGAGGAAAGGACAGTGATAAAACTCTGGTTCTATAGTGAAGAGATAAGGAGACAGATAACTATACATGTGCATCAGATTTTGGGTAGGCCTGTGTATTTTCATAGGTCCCAGAGAGATCCTTGCAACAAAACAAGGAAGTTATAAATATTGAGGACAATCTGTTGTATGTTAAATGTAGCAGTTTGTGCATTGTCTGTCCTAGCTCCTGTTATCCATCCTTCACTTTTCTGGGCACCAGATTTACCCCAATCATTTATTTCTATTGTCATTAATGTGCAACCTCCATCTGTACCTGTCTTGTGGTCATAGAATATGCATTGTCCTGTGGCTGAGCCTAATGATTTCTCTTGCCCTCAAGTCTACTTGGATTTTAGAAGTTGTTCATGTGAAATGTTCTGACCCAGGTTTTGCTTTGTATAGGCAACTACCGTTCTGCTCTCAGTGATGTGATCGCTGCAAGAAAGCTAAAACCCAACCTTCTCAAAGCAATAATAAGAGGTAAGATTTTAAAAACAAATGGATAGTATGCCAGTATTTTGAAGTTCAAAGGTAATTTCGAAATGCTAAACCCAGATTAACTAAGGGAGGTCACTTTATTTTGCAAAACTGTATTGTGTTCAAGGAGTATTTTACTCTGTGTAAAATAACACAATGATCATTGGTGTTTAAGTTAACTAATCAAAAGACCAGGCTTCAAAATGCTATGTAAGGATAATTTGTTACATACTGTTCTTATCGGCAGACTCCGATTTTTTTATTATGTTTAACTAAATGTACTTTTTATAAGTTTTATAAGTTATAAAATGGAAACAAACAAAAGTTTGTTTCCATTTTATAATATAGTTTTGTTTATCTACCTTGAATGTCTGATAAGCAGAAGTGCATTACCGACTATCACTGTATTCTCCCTGTCATACTGTCCCACTCATAAATTTGTCCTGCTGTCTCTCAATTAGTTTTAAGTTGTTTGCCCCCACAACTCCTATAGGCTGTTCCAGAACCTCATTCCTGGTGGTGAGACACCTTCTTCTGATTTCCAGCCTGAATTTGTTCATGGCCAGTTTATATGCATTTGTTCTTGTGTCAACATTGTCCTTTAGCTTAAATAGCTCTTTGCCCCCCAATGTATTTATAGAGGGGAATCATATACCTTCTCAGCCTTCTGTTTGCTAGGTTGAATCTCTTCCAGTCTCCGCTCAGAAGATAGGCCCTCCCTTCCCCAGATCATCCTAGAAGCTCTTCTCTGCACCTGTTCCATTTTAAATTAATCTTTCTTTGAACATGGGTGACCAGAACTGTACACAGTGTTCCAGATGAGGTCTTACCAGTGCCTTGTACAACGGCATTGAATATTTCTCTATCTCAACTGGAAGTGCCTCT